CTTACTTGTTTTTAGCTTTCAACATCGAATGTTTGCTTTAAAATTTTCCCCACACTTTAGCTCAATAATCTAAATATTGCAGCAACATGTAAATACATATTTTATATATGTTAATATTTACACTTGTTCCTTTATAGGGGGCTCAGTGAAATACTTTGAAAATCAGAATTTCAAGCCAATAGTGTTATTGGAATCCAGGACAAGACCTTATTACCTTTGTAACATTTGTGGTCAGAAAATTTAGATTTCTCTTATTTCATATATTAATTCATCCTATTTACTCACTATAAAAGTTTTCACTCAGTCTGTTTCACCTGCAAGGCCACACAATTCCCCTGCATGTGGGTGTTTGTAGACCAGACATAGCTTCTACACAAAACAAGCCAGATTCTTTCTCATCCTTATTTATAACATGTTTAACCAAAGTGTCTGTAATTTTTTTTGACTCTGACTACTTTCCATTACTGTAAGTAAGGGGGAACGAACGCTGCCCAGATCAGAACATTGCCTGAATACAGAGCAGTAAGGGATGAATGTCGACTCTTCTCTCTTTGCAAAGATATGAAAATAAATTTCTGACTGAGTGAAATCCATCGATCTCTCTTTATTTAACTGGGATGAACGGTTGAATACTTTTTTACTCCAAGTGGTACAAGCCCCAAACCCACACAGACCATCAGAACATCATCGGGTTAGATGGCCTAGAGCTGATAGGGAGTATGAGTGGCGCCAGTTTGATGAGGTGACCGACTCCATCTTAGAAGCAACAGCCAAGGGGGAAGTCGATCGGCGTCTCCAGACCATGACCACCATCATCATCAGCATGGGAGCTGAGAGATTTGGCCTGGAGGAGAAGAAAGCAGGGAGACTGCCCTACACCATGAGCAATCGAGCACACAAGATCCACCAGCTCAGGAAGGAACTGAGGGTCCTGAGGCGGCAGTTTAAGCAGGCAAGAGAGGAGGAGAGGGGACCTCTCTCAGAGCTGCGCAACATACTTCGAAAGAAGCTCCTGACTTTGAGGAGGGCTGAGTGGCATAGGAGAAGAAGGAAGGAAAGAGCCAGGAAGCGCGCTGCCAAACCCAAACCCGTTTGGGTTTACGAAGCAGCTGCTGGGGCAGAAACGCAGTGGTCAACTTACCTGTTCCAGAGCAGAGGTCGACCATCACCTGGCTGCAACCTATGGAGATGCATCCAGGGAGCAAGACCTGGGAGACTGCCAGTCCCTGATTGA